TGCAGAGATGCTCAGAAATTCAAGTTTCAGCCTTTTCCCCACACAGCAGCATTTCATTGCTGCTGGTGCCTGTACTGTATAATTCAACTTACAGCTGTCCCTGAACGTTATCTGGAGTTTCCACATATCTCTGGCAAATGATGAAGCCAGCAGCTACACTCACACCATGGGGACATTTTTAGGTGACAGCTGTCTTCCTTAGTGCCTTTATTGACTATATTTCTCTACAGTGTATTTTAGGCAGAACTGGTCAGAAAACTTGTTTGGACATGTCTTTGGTTTCATCTTTTCACATGCCACCTCAGAAAGACAAGATTGAGGGAGAAAAAGAGGACAAGGGAAAAACTCTCCTTTTCTGCCACTGCAACAAGGAAGAGTGAAAAAGGATTTTGTTTTCCTATTGAAAAATATAAACACTATAAACCCATAAAAACAGTTGAAAAAGAAGTGTACTCAGCATCCTGCACATTACTACTGACTAGTTACCACCAAGGGTCAGGTGTTTCTTGTCAAGGTAGTTTCTAATGCCTGGACCTTTCTGTATCATCAAGAGGTGCTATGTGCTTAATAAATGCACAAACATGTAGTTAAACCTGTTAGAACACAGTTTCTGCTGTATTTCACTGAAATACAGTGAGGAAGGTGGCAACGTTTCTTGTGCAATGTCATAACAAATAGTTTGCTGCTGACTGAACAGGGCTCGGTGCTTTTCCTGAGGCCACACTGCCAGCAGGCATGCTGATCTCAAAAGTAAACCTCCTTGACTGCACCAGTCAAAAAAGTGACAGGGATTTCCAAGCAAATATTAACATTAAAATCCAGTGCACAAATAGAGATGTTTTGTAATGCAGCAAGAAGTCTCTAAACCAGTTAACTACTGCATTTTTGTGAGAAAAAAATAGTGTTTATAGCTTATGGTAAGTTATGTCAGTGTTTATGAAATCCTTTTGGTTGGTTTTTTCTACTCATTTTCTCTAATGTTTGCTAAGTTTTAGCATATGTTGTAAATCCAGATAGAGCCACAGTGTGAATGGGGAACTTTGTTCAAGTGTTTTGCAGTATTTCTCTGGCATCCAGTTTCTGGTAGCTACTGAGAGGTCTGGGATCGCTGAGCACACAGGGCTGGCCATGCTCTAAAGGGAAAGTAAATTAGTTTCATGTGAATATATTAAGTCATATTTTTCAAGGATGTAAAGCCTCAGGGTGACTGAAGGGTGAAGAACGATAAAATTGGGACCTGCAATTTCTTTTACCAAATGTTTTAACTATTCTGCTGAAGCCTTCTCCAAATGCAATAAGCAGGAGGTGAAAATTGAAGAACCAATCTTTGTTTCAAATCTATATTGGGAAAAAAAATCATCCTAACAATAAGGCTTGTCATTGAACCACAGAAAATAACAGAGGTTGGGGCTCCGTTAATGATAACTCCTTCTTGAGCATTTTGTTCACAATCTCAATTATCATTTCATATGCTTTATCTCTCACATACATAACTAAACCCTTTTAATCTTTAATGAATTAATTTGTCTTAATTCAGTAGCTATAGAGTTCTCTGAGGAAAACGTGAGAATTTCATTATCAGCTCTAGGACTACAGAAAAGTACATCCTGGGGAGATGGAGCAAGCGAGCAGAAAGCTCAGCTGCTGTGGATACATCAAGGGTGGATGTAGTGGAGGGGATTTTTCTAATTTAAAAGCAAGCATCTTCACATCTGTATTGAGTGAGGCTTTTTTCCTCAGGTGATGGTGGATTTTTTGCAGCTGCTGTGCCCTTTCAGGAATCTTTATCCTGTGTTCAGCTTTGATAGCTCTGCTGGCCCAGCCTTGAAGTTGTCTCTCCATTTCTGCTGAAATGTTTCTGCATGGGGTTTTCTTGTCAGCTTTGTTATGCTACCTGCTATGCTGTCCCTGTTCTCATCTTTTACCAAGACTGACAATAACACCTTTTTGTAGAGCTTTTCAGCAGAAACTTCTCATCAAATGAAAATTTTCACACAACCTTTTTTCAACTTATGTTTAACTAGGAAACCAGAAACATACAACGCTTGTTGTGGTTCTGTATGGAAATTGTTGGAGTCGTTTCATAAACTGACAATTTTCCACTAAATATACCAATGATTTTTTCCTTCTCTTTCGAATTTTTCTAGGAACAAACCCTATTTGCAGCAGGCACTTGCTCTTCTGCTTACAGCCCATTGAAGGTAGCTGGAGGACGCTGGCCTTTTTAATTATTGCTTTATCCCCTCTCACCTTGACCTAACTGTGCCCTGGCAGGGAATGTTTGCCTACCTCTAACTGATTTACAGCAGATGTTAGTAGTAATAAATTATATCCCGCTTCCCCCAGCTCCTTTTTTGCTACAGCTCCTCAAATGTTTTCAAATGAAAAGTCTCTCAAAGGGCGTTTCTTTTTCAAAATGCATATTTTGAGGGTTTATGAGTATTTTCTCCTTTTTTTCCCAATTATACTGAAAAGCAAAGGCTGTACTTTATTCTTTTCCTGTATTTTTGCTTTCCTTTTGCTACTGGAAAGAGTGGCACTAAGGTGAAAATACAAGAAAAGCGAAGGTGAAAAGAACTGTGACAACAGAAGAACTTCTATGGAAAAAAGCAAATAACTGAAATAACTCATTGGCAAAGCACATGGAACAAGAAGGGGGAAAAAGTCCAACCCTGACATGTTTTAATTTTTTCTTGTTTTTCCACCAGTTCCCTCCTGACATCATCAAACAACCATTTGGTACTTGTTTCATGTAGCACATGGTAGGCAAGGCGAATGACTTCATGCCTCTAAAGCCAAGCCTTTGTTCTACCAGCTATTTGCACAGATGCTGTCATCAGCGCCCTGTCCACGCTTGTAGGAACCAACCTCCATCACCAGCCTGATGCATTCTGAAAGCACAGCAAAAGAATGACTGGGAATGTGAGGATCCAGCCTGAAAGAGTGTTGAAGACCATTTTAGATGTGGATGTGAGCAATCTGGTCTAGTGGGATGCATCCCTGCCCATGGCAGGGGGTAGAACTAAATGATATTGAGTAGTGAGTAGTGATGTTAGGTGATACTGTCCCTCTACTCTGTTCTCGTGAGACCTCACTTGGAGTATTGTGTGCAGTTCCGGTGTCCTCAACATAAAAAGGACATGGAACTGTTGGAACAAGTCCAGGGGAGGGCCACGAGAATGATCAGGGGACTGGAGCACCTCCCATATGAAGATCAGCTGAGAAGGTTGGGGCTGTTCAGCCTGGAGAAAAGAAGGCTGAGTGGAGACCTCATAGCAGCCTTCCAGTATCTGAAGGGGGCCTATAGGGATGCTAGGGAGGGACTCTTCATTAGGGACTGTAGTGATAGGACAAGGGGTAATGGGTTAAAACTTAAAACAGGGGAAGTTTAGATTGGATATAAGGGGGAAGTTCTTTACTGTGAGGGTGCTGAGGCATTGGAATGGGTTGCCCAGGGAGGTTGTGAATGCTCCATCCCTGGCAGTGTTCAAGGCCAGGCTGGACAGAGCCTTGGGTGGCATGGTTTAGTGTGAGGTGTCCCTACCTATGTCAGGGGGGTTGGAACTAGATGATCTCAAGGTCCTTTCCAACCATAACTATTCTATGATTCTATGATATAAAGGTCTTTTCCAACCCAAACTGTTCTATGATTCTGTGTTTCCTGACTCAGAACTGGGCTGGAGACCAGAGATTTCCTGAGGCAGGGATGCCCCCACATCCCTGTCTGCCTCCCCAGCTCTGCTGCCAGGCTCCCCATGGTGTTGCTTGGCCAACACAACCTGTCTCATTGGACCAGGTGTGATTTCCAAGCCTTGCCACTTCCAGGGAATGCGCTACGCAATGTTGGCTTGCCAGAGCAGATTCTGTCTTTGAAACAATATGCAGAAACACACTTTAAGTAGTAGAAAGTGCTGAAGGAAGCCTTTTCCTGTAGTGCTCCTACTTTGTTCCTAGTGGGTACCTTAATGTGATGATATAGGTTAATACTGCATGTGGCACTTACATGAAAGCTATTTCAGATGAGCTAATTTGCCAATGCCTTAAGCAAAGGCACCAGTTGGTGGATATTACCTCTGTGTCTAATTACTTCCACTAGCAAGTGGCCAAGTGAAATTCAAGCTACTAATTTTCATCATTTTTTTTATTACTATGAAGTCCTAGGAGAACCAGAAAATCTAAAGACATAGCATTTTATTTCCAACATGCTTTAGGCAGGACTGTCCCAAAAAGTCAATTTGAAGAGAACAACATTGTTTTTGGAAGCAGGCCCTTGCCTTAGGAGTCAATAACCTCTGAAAAGCAGTGAAGCCTGCAGCTGTCCTCCTACAGAACACACTGTGAAGTCCCCATCCTGCAGACATGCAAGGGCTTAATTGTGCATGTGCTTGTAGTCCTATGGATTTAAATTGGACAACTCTTGGGTAAACTTCACTGTATTAATTACATCTGTGGGAGCAAGAGGTCAGCTCTATAAAATACTTTGGTTTCTTCTTGCTATTTTAGCTAGCTAAGAGTTTCCATGAATAGTTAAACCAAGGTAGATCATATAGAAGAAATCAATTATTAAATGTTAATTGGTGGTTTTAATAATGGGGATTTAAGACACAAAAAGCAAAGTTTATATTCTGGAAACAACTAACCAAACAAACTTCATCTTAATCTTACTAGGGACCACAGAATTCAATCGTCAGTTCCTTGGAAAAAGGGTATAAAGGGAGTTTCCAAACTCCCCTCCTCCTTTAAGAAGTCTCCCCCTCTAATTTCTAAGGTGCCCCCCAACCCCTGCTGAACCAGCCCTGGAGTAAATCATCACTGGAACCATGCAAGTGTCCTACAGACAGCTATATAAATCTTGTGTTACAGCAAAACAAGAGGGGGAAAACCAAGTAAAACTAATTCAGGACTACCATGTACCCAGCGTTGGTAACACACAGGCGTTCAGGCAGGTTGCCCCGCTGTTGCAGGGCTCTGGGTGCAGTATCATCTCCTCAGAGGAGGAAAATCATACCCTTTTTAACTAAAGCATCACCTTTTATGTGGAAATAAAGGGAGGGAAATATCCCTGCAGGAGCAGCAAGGGAAGGAGAGGGCCGGGTGGAACACAGGCTGCTTGCTCAGACGCTGGAGCCCCCCGGGCAGCTTGTGTTTCCAGGCGTTGCAGATCTGATTTCAGCCTCAGCCATGGGCAGGCTAAGGGTTAACAGGAGACTCACCACGTTAACTGTATCTGTGGAGATTATGGCGTGTTTATCCAGTGTTCAGATTTCCTGTCTGAGTGTTTGGATTTCCTGAAATCCCTGCTATCAGCCCAAGTGCTGTCCACTGAGCAAACCTTTTCTCTCTCCCCCCTTTTTTCTCCCCCTTCTTTTTTTTTAGCTTTGCTCACATGGTAGGTTTTCCTTCCTGCTCTCTTTCCAGTTGTAGTGCCTGTGCCTCCTCACCGGTCAGGACATTTATGGATTCAGATCAGCACTCTTAGACTCCAGAACTCTGGGAATCGCCGTCCATTGGATTTCCTTTTTTATTATTCTTATTTTATTTCACTTTATTTTATCTTTTTGTGGCAAGAAAACCTGAAGAAACATGCTCTTTTCTCAGCTGCCTATGGGAGAATATGTTTTAGTCTGAGATGGAATAATGGCCTTAGGTTTGAGGACCAAGACTGGAATGGGAATTCAGACTGCACGCGTCCTGGTGAGTTGCAGTGTGTTGGGGCTGAGTGTGGTTGTTAATGAGCAGCTCTGAAACAGAAACAAAGGCTGAGCACATCCATTCAATGTGGCTGCTGAGCAGACTGCAAAAAGCAGAGGGGTGACGCTGAAGTTAGAACTTTCTCCAAAGAAAACAACTAAAGTCCACTTTTAATTCCTAAAAGCACGCTGCTCTACAGCCCAGATAACTTCTAGGTAAACATTAGTGTAACAAAATGTGTAAGGCCACATTTTGCGAGTCCTTACTCATATAAGTAACTTTTAGTCACATAAGCAACCTCAGTGACTTTAAAAAAGGCTCATGTAATAAAAGACTTGCAGAATGGGGCCCACACTGAGCAAACTGCAATGTCTCGATCTCAGCAGAACTTAAAAGAAAAATAAGTTTTGTAAGTGCCTTTGCATTTTTCTTTGGCCTTTTATGTTTTATTGTTGATCTAGATTTAAGTTTTAAGAAGAATCTACGTGCCAACTATTTCTCTTATTGTCTCTTAAATAAGTTTGCAGTAGGAGTGACAATGTATTTCAGGCAGCAGTGCTCTGAGAGGCCAGAAAGGGGCTTTCTGTTGGAGGGAAAGTGCTGAGTGCTCTGCTGCTCTGAATAAACTGGAGAGCTGCATCCAGACATGAGGCTCAGCTAAGGTTTTAGATTCATTTTTGGATGCGAGAGTCCATGATGGCATTGTTAGCCTTAGGTGGGTTTAGTTAAACCACAGTCACAAATGCAACAAGTTGACTAGTCTCAAAGTCAGTGACTCAGCATTTGAAACAGAAAAAGTCTTCTTTTCAGAACTCCTTAAAGCAAATTTCACTACTGGCACCCATGGAAGTGTTGACGGAGTAAGATGTGGCAGATAAAGCATCATCACTGTTGCAACTTTTGTTCTGTCCCGTAGCTGGAGGCTGTGGTTGCGCTGAACATTCCTAAACTGCTCCTTGGAGCTGCTCCAGGGATTCAATTCTCTAATTTTAAGGCAAAAAGATTGATTCAGAAATTGCTTAGATGTTAGGAAACATCTATAGGAAAACCAGCTTTCCACAGTAATTTTACTTCAGCCCTTATTTTCCTTAGACTATTGCACATGTCCTGAATTCTTGTGTTTAATACTGCATGTCAGTCAAGAGACTTTAACATTTAAATTCTTGGGATTTAGCAGGACAGAATAGACTCCCGTTTTATACCAGTAAAGGGAAAGATCCATTTTCCAAATTCTCTGCAGAGCTTCCAAATCTGAAGTTTTAAACTAATTGCCTGGTGTGCAGGCTTTCCATACAAACTTTTGAATGTGATCCTGCTGCTCTTCAAGGTTTTCTTTGGTATCAGTGGAAGGCTTTTGTGAGACCAGCCACACCAAGCTCATGTCTTCTCTGCCTGCAAGCCTGCAGAGATCCAAGTTTAATTATTAACATGAGGAAATGCTGAAGCTGAAGGTATTTTATGCATTGAGGTGTCAGTTCTTGCTGTGTATGTAGGTGTTTACTTCCATTGTAGGGGGTTGGCAGGGAGGACAAGGAGCCCCTCACCTGAATTAGAGTGGACCATGGTGTCCTACCTTGCATTTAACATGCAATTTGGTGGTCTGTGGTCATGGATGCGACTAATCTGGTTATAACAGAAATGTGCTCTTCTCAAAGCTGGCAGAAGAGATGAAATGTCACCAAGGATCAGTGAACTGCAGAAGATACAAAGTACAAATGAGGACTCAGTGGAAATATAAAGACTTCTCTATGCCTATCTAAATCTCCTGGTTTTAGGAATTCTGTTGGCTTTCCAATGAGCAGCATGCTTGTGACTGGGTCGGTTGTGGGGTTTCTTCCCCCTTTTTTGCAGGACAGTCCGAACTTTCTGGTTTCAGTCAGGTTGGAAATGCTGTGGGAATAGTTTTTCTGGTGGTATTTTAGTATTTCCTCTTCTGCTCACACCCAGACCAGGAAGTGCAGAAGCACAACCTTCAACTCATTGTGTACATGTTTCTTTTTATAAACCTGAATTCCCTTCCCTCCCCCTTTTGTCCCCCCTTTTTCTTTTTTGTCCTTGTGGCTCTCACATAGGATTAAAGTTCTACTTGATTTAGACTGTGGGAATGTTTCATACCTCTTCACATAGCTATACCAAGCACTAAATAGTTCATTAATAAGTGATTATGACATTAGTTTTGAATTATTTAAGTGCAATATTCCCAACTCAGCTAACCATGGACAATAATGTTAATGTGCCAATATCCCTCGGTAGATGTTTCTGCTGGCATTTACTCCTGAACCTTCACCAGTGTGAGGTCTAACTGATCACTAAGACCTATCTACCCAGTTACCCATGAAGAAGTTCTGCAAAAGGTCATTTTCTTTGTAACCAGCCACATCATTAAACTCTTTCAGATTAGAGACTTCAAGCTTTATTCTTTCCCTCCCTCTTTTTCCCTTTCTGCACCAGTGAGGAGGTTCAACTCATGTACCCTTACTTCATGTGTCCAACTCATTCACCATCATGACTGTCAGTCCTCCTGCCTTCCTTGCTGTTTTTGGCAAGTACGGATAAACAATTTTGACAGGTATAGAGTCCTGCAGGGCTAACTTCCCACAAAGAGTGATGTTTCTCTGCTCAGATGATAAATGGACCAGAGGAACTGAGCCACTTTCTCTGAAACTGTTCCCCACATCCAAAGCTTTTAGACCCTCCATTTCACAGCGTTTTCCTCAAAAAGCAAAGAATGTAATTTGGTTTCATACCTAAGTAAAGCAGATCACATTTGGATTGCAACTTTTCCTTCACGACCCTTCAAGCCACCTTGTAGAGTCTTCAATCCACCATTTTATAAATGAAAATAAACTTAAGATGAATCTTAAATTTGGCTCCCCAGAGGCAGCGATGCTTTTCGTGTATTCTCCTCTATCTCGGCTGGAATTAACAAAATCCATCTGTCTCTGTGAGTCAGCAGAAAAGTATTCCTCTTTTATAAGAGTTAAGGGACACGGGATAGGGCAATGTCAAAGAGCAGAAGTCTTCCCCCAGCTCAGCATTTGCACGGCAGGCATGGAGAGGAGGTCGTGTTTTCGCTTCCTAATCATGCAACGAGCTAGATTTACACCAGCGAAGGACGTGGCCTGTGGTGTGCATGGCCATGGCTGTCGAACAAGGCTCCTTTCATCAGCAGTAAACGTGAACAAATGTGCGAATGGCACCAACCAGCGCGCACCGCAGTGTGGCGGCCGCTGGCAGCTTGGAAAAGTCAGAAGAAAACTCTATTTTCTTCTCATCAAAAGCAAAAAGAGGAAGCCTCCCCCTCCCCTTCCACCCCCACCGCTACCACCCTGGCTCGAGCAAGTTGATCCATAGGTATTTGTGTGGGGGTTTGTTCTCCGCGGTTAACCACATAACAATTTGAAGCATGTGGCTAACTCAAAAGAAACTGCCTTTAAACGTTTGCAGACTGTAATTGTGTTAGGGAGAGCGGAAGCGCTGAACATCCCACAGCAAGGTCCTGTGAAGAGGGAAAAAAACCCTGACTTTATCTCTAGGAGTTTCTCTTCTTGCCAATGCCCTGCAGCCAGGGCCAGATGTTCCCCACCTCCTGTTTTGTGTCTTTATCTGGTGTGTCAGGGCAAGAAACAAACCAGAGAGAAAAGGGGTGGTGATGGAGGGGAGGGCATTTCAGCACACAGCTTTCACAAATAAAGCTCGAGTAATAATAACAAACAAATTGGAGAAGCTTTACCATGAAGCTGAGCGTGTCTGAGACCACTGGGTGATCCCCAAAGGATGTGGTGACAGACAGGCAGCGTGGGGCTGGAGACCAGGCTCCAGAGGGCCAGCAAGGAGAAACCCTCCTCAGGGTGGTAAAATGCCCCGTTCAAGCTCTTCCATCCCTCAAACCTGAATCTGTTGGGCAGGGAGGAAAGGCTGGAGGGAGCCCATATGCAGCTGTGCTTGTGGGAGTAAAGATACCAACACCGCATGGTGCCACAGCGCTTGTTATCACAGAGCCATGGGGCTATACTAACATCCAGTTCTAACGAATTTTGGGCTTAAGGAAACCACTAAAACTGAACATTGCAACATTTCCCCATGGGAGGAGATGCCTGTGAGACATTCTGCAAGTGGTTTGTGGATCCCAAAGGTCATGAGCTTTTAATTTCCATCCATTTCCAGTGTATTCTCAGTCAAGGATTAGGAGCGCCTTTCCTTGGCTACAGACATGCTCCTAAGTGCTCATTACACAAACAAAATAGGGCAATTAATCTTCTTCACCCTGCTGCAAGCCTCTTTTGTAATTCAGCAGGTAAAAATACCGTATCTGTACAATCACCAAAATAGCCCCTGCTCTAGGAAAGCCAATGACTTCTGGAGTGTGGCCTGAAGGTTGAAAATCCAGCCTGCTCTGGAGAAAGGGTAAATAAGGCATTGCCAAGTCTTCTCTCTCAGTTACAGTGGCTGGAGCTGTGGCCTTGTGGCACAGGGATGGGGTGGGATTGCAGTTAGAAACCAAACTGTGCCCCATGGTCCTGCAGCCACATGCATTTCTCCATATCTGTTCTCCATTCTGGGGATTAAAGAAATCAACTTCTAGTCAGTGGCTGAACAACAGCCCTGATATTGCACCTTTTGGCACTAAATTACAATGTGACCTCAGGCAAGTCACTGCAGAAGTGTGGCTGGCTCCCTTTTTCTTCTTGTTCATCTGTGGAGTAACCAGAAGGGAGCATGTACATAGGAAATGCAGGCACATGTTTGATGTGCTCCTCAAAACTGCTGGGGCAAGAAGAGGGAGATGCCTCCTGCCAAAGCTGGCACAGCTGCATGCCCTTTTTATAGCAATTGGCCAAAAGCGATTTTATTCTGGCCAGAACTGCCAGCCAGAGAAGCAGCAGGATGCTTCAAGGCACTGCGACAAGCCTTATGGTATCTACATTCAGCATAACCCCAAGATCTTAGCATAATAATATGGTTCTGTGTAAGAACATAAAACCGTCTGAGCCAACACTTCA